GGACTCCCAACAACTGCGCCACCAGGGAAGCCCCTGTTGGAAGATTTTTAAGCACAGTTTCACTTTCATTACTTGTGATTGGTCTGTTCATATTTTCTGTTTCTTCCTGGTTCACTCTTGGAAGGTTATACCTTTCTAAGAATTTGTCCATTTCTTCCCAGCCGCTCTGCAGCATGTGGGATCTTCCCGGACCGGGGCACGAACCTGTGTCCCCTGCATCGGCAGGTGGACTCTCAACCACTGCGCCACCAGGGAAGCCCCAATTTCCTTTTTTAAACCTAAACTTTGCCCTGTACCTGTTATGTAGTGAATATTTAACAGATATTTATGGAAAGATGACTAACAACATAGATTGCAAATTGGAGAGATATAGTACTTATCACTGAATTTTTTGCTGGATTCAAAGTCAGCCTGGTCGGTTCTACCTTGTATGACTAGCTAATGGTGATTCCAGCCTGTGATATTACAGCCTATTCTTATTATTTAAGTTATAATTACAGTGACTAGAGTGATCTGTAATTTTAAGCCAAGGAAGGGAAACCAATGAATTTGCTTTCTTACCTGGAAGCCTTCACATACTAAAAAAGAAATATGCTCCAAATTTGGATATTGTTAGGAGAACCTAAAAGAAATATACTGAACACAAAAAGTATCTCTTATGGCAACAAGAATGATGTTTGGACTGAGAAGGAAAGGCTACATATGTCTTAGAGATGCATAAAGCCCAAGAGAGATGAAGAACTAGAAAGGACATCTAGTTGCTCTAAATAAGTTCATATCACCTGGTCTAGATAAATCGTATCTCAAAAAACAGATGAAATTTCTAATTCTATTGCAAAAGAAGTATTGTAAATGATGGGAAAGAGGAGATTTACCAGAAAAAAAGAAGCAAGCTGTTTTTTTAACACAAAAAATGGAAGGTAAATTCTGAAAATTATGGCAAAGTCTTAGGTTGTGAATGTTTACCAAAACAGTTATAACTGGAAGTCAGACATTTTCTTCAAGCAAAAGACATTTATTGAATGCTTTCCAGCTTCTAGCTTTTGTGATGTCTTTCATGATATCTTGAACAAGGAGAGATATTTGAGAAGTAGTGATATATTTCTGTGAATTCTGAATGCTTAATCCAAAGCATCCTCGAGATCACTATCTCATCACCTTATTTTAATTTTATGCATATTATTATCTCTCTATGGCTTTTCTTTTGCTTTCTTATTTATTTGTTTGTTTACTGTTTGTTTCAGTTCATTAAGATGTAAGCTCTAGAGAGTAAAGGCTTTGTATGTTTGTTTACTGCTGAATCACCAATACTTAGAGCAATGCATGTCACAAAGTAGATAATAATATTTTGTTGAGTGAACCTATTAGTTGAACTGCCATATCCAAATAAATTTACAAGATGGATTGATGCCCACCAGGTCGGCAGAATGCAGTAGGCAAGAGCTCCCTATCCTTGTATGTGACTTGAATGAAGATAAAGATGATATGCCTAAAAAATGGTTCATGAAATAATATAAAATTATTATCTTTGCAGTTTACAATGACTGACAAATCTAATCAGTGAAATTGGATAGAGATAATACCTAAAGTACTATTTTTGGATCTAGAAAGAAAAAAGCATAACTACAGGATAGAGGTTAATTTCAACAAATGTTAAGAAAAAGATGAAAGGATTAGGAATTTTAGGTAATAGCATACTCAATGTGATCCAACAATATAAAATGACCTCAACTTCATTCTGTGTATTCTAAACACACCACAAAAACCAAGGAGGCAATGCCAATGAGTACCATCTTCACTGTATTAATTGAGTTTATTGTCAATATCATGTCAGTGATGATGATATTCTACTTTGTGTTAAAAATACATCTAGATAAACACACTTTTAAAAAATTTATATATAATAGTGTGTTAATCCCAAATTCCTAATTTATTCTTCTCCCCACGTTTCCACTTTGGTAACCATAAATTTTTAGTTTTTATTTTTTTTTAGAAGAAATGCAAATGTTCTTTTATTTTATTTTTAATTTTATTTTTTAATTTTTTGGCTATGTAGGGTCTTCACTGCTGTGCATGGGCTTTCTCTAGTTGTGGCCAGTGGGGGCTACTCTTCGTTGCAGCGTGCGGGCTTCTCATTGCAGTGGCTTCCTTTGTTGCATTGCATGGGCTCTAGGCGCGTGGGCTTCAGTAGCTGTGGCACATGGGCTCAGTAGCTATGGCTCATCGGCTCTAAAGTGCAGGCTCAGTAGCTGTGGCACACGGGTTTAGTTGCTCCGCGGCACGTGGGATCCTCCCGGACCAGGGCTCAAACCCGTGTCCCCTGCACTGGCAGGCAGATTCTTAACCACTGCGCCACCAGGGAAGTCCCCATAAAATTTTTTTTGAAGTCTGTGAGTCTGTTTTATAAATACGTTCATTTGTATCATTTTTTTACACATTGTAAATCAACTATAATCTAATATAAAATAAAAATTAAATTTAAAATATTTAAAGGAATATTGACAGAGGAAAGGGATAGTGAAATTCTTCAGCTGAGGATCGGTAAGGAAGGGGTAGGTGGAAACAGCAGTATAACTATCACACAGAAGAGAGCTCTTAGTCCAAGCAGGGAAAAAGAGGACCAAGGTCCTATAGGAGTAAGTTAGCAGGAAACATATTTTGGCTCAATATAAAGGGGAATTTTGTACCAATTCTAACAATTAGACCTAAATGTGCTGTCTTGGGAGGTAGGCAATTGTTCATGGTGTGCCTGAACAGAGGATCAGAGAGATTGATGCCTTGGATGAGGGGGTTGAAACAGATTGCCTTCAATATCACTTCTAATTCTAAGATTATATGGCATTACATTTATAATAAGGTATTGCTCTGTAGAGGCTTCATCAACTATATTCTTTAGGACAGCTGCGGATAGGAGAACAAACATTATAAGTGATTATGCATCCTGAAAGGAGAGGCAAAAGCATATGGCAGGTAAATCACAGTTGTTGAGCTGGAGCACCCTTGTCCAAATTCCAGCTATGATTTAGTAGCTAGTGACCTTGGATAAGTTTCTTAACATCTGTCTGTTTTAGTTTCCATATATAAGGTAAACATAATATAATACCTACATAATAGGTCTGTTGTGAAAACTAAATAATACACATTAAGGTTTCAGAAGGGTACCTGGCTTGTAGTGATTGTTATCTATTATTATTGCAACTATTGCTACAGTTAAATATCCACAAACCATTGTGGAGTATTAATAACATATTTTATTCTGCATTATTTGTCTGTTTAGATATTCCTTGGGAAAAAGTATCTTATAGAGAAGCATGGATATTGGATCCAGATGGACCTGGATTCCAAATCTGTTTATTTTTTATGGGCTGTGGTCTTAGATGAGTCACCTAAGCTCACCATATCTTCTTTTCCTAATGACTCTTTAGTTATAGGGATTCTGCAAAATTAAAGGAGGCAATGCATGTTATTCGCCTAGTCATAGATGTCAGCTCTAATTCCACTGGCTGAGATGGCATTTTATTTTAGTGCTTATCCAAATACATTATATTCTGGTGACCATAGCAGCACTGGATCAATAGAGAGACTTATAATTAATGACTTTAGTTATTAATTATAAAATTACAGGATTCTGCTTCAGTAGGTAAGCTCAAGTCTTGAAGGGACCAGAGACTTTCTTCTTCCACGTCTGGCATTTTGTTGTTTTTCTACTTGAACTTCTTCCTAAGGAATATGAATGTGCCAGCCTCTTACCTTCCTCACACCAGTTGAATGAGGGTTACATCAATCCCATCCATAAAATTCAAGGTTTTATTTTACTTGATTACTGTGTCTTCTTCTGTAGATCCTTTGGTCTTCTTTCCAGGGGACGAAGACAGCCTGGAGCTGCGTGCCAGTTTCCTGCTGGCTCTGGGCGAGTGGGGAAGTTGCCTGAGAGCTTTTGAAGTGAGAGGAACCTTGAGCTTAGTTAAGCAGCTTGGGACCCAGAACAATATCAAAACTGGGCCTTTGGTTATGTATATGATACTGGTTTCTACAACTTTCTCATGCTCAACCCTCTCCCCCAAATACTTCCCAAAACTGAACTAGATTACTCTGAGTTTTACTTAAAACTCAGAATGTTGGGCTTCCCTGGTGGCGCAGTGGTTGAGAGTCCGCCTGCCGATGCAGGGAACATGGGTTCGTGCCCCGGTCCGGGAAGATCCCACATGCCGCGGAGCGGCTAGGCAATGTGAGCCATTGCCGCTGAGCCTGCGCGTCCGGAGCCTGTGCTCCGCAATGGGAGAGGCCACAACAGTGAGAGGCCCACGTACCGCAAAAAAAAAAGAAAGAAAACTCAGAATGTTTTATCATTTGATTCATTAACATCACTGTATTAGAAAGTGCAGGAAAGGGTGATAAGGTTTAAAAAAATGAAATTAAGATCAAGAGCATGGCCCTCTAGCTTTTCCATTATGGAGTTAAATTGCTGATATCACTTCTATTCAAAATATACTACTTTCTAAAAATTACTGCTAAATTGTATGTATTCTGATCATTGTTTTTATGAATGATGCAAGAGAATGTATTGAGTTCAATTAAACTTATTGGCATAATATTTGTTAATTATGACACTATAAAGAAAGAATTGCTTTCCTTTGAGAATCAAGCAAAAATACCCCAAATATTTATACAATAGTATTCCTCTCAGGGCATGCTGCTAATGAGAAATTTATATATAACTTTGTAAAAATGAATGTTTTTAAGTTCTGAAATGATATAGCATATACTTGCCTATAATCCCTAGGCTGATATTTTACTGTGATATTTCTTTGCTTCTCATTCTAATAAAATATTAACATGATAAACTAATTTTTTTCTGTCAAAAACAAGTTGTTGAAGGATAATCACTGTTTTCTTCATTTGATAACATGTGGTTTAACTTGGTAGAACTAGTCTAAATTTATGTCACATTCTTTCCCCTTTTCAACTCCACTCTTGCTTTCTGGTTACCCCCATTCTAGCAATACAAGACCAAGTCCAGCTACAAGGCTTTTGCAGCAATCCCAACAAACACATTGCTTTTGGAACAGAAGGTCAGTGTTGGCTCAAAAGCAGACTGAATTTTGGTGATGTTTTCTAAAATTGCTTATGTCATTTTTGTTATGTTTAAAAAAAAATTCTGTTTTCAAGTTCTGCCTTTACTAAAATAAAATGCTGCTCTTAGTTTAGGATGACATAGTGAAAGCATCTTGGATAGAATTGGAGACATCACTGATTTATTGGTAGAGTCTTGGTAAGAGCCTGGAGTTATCCAAGCTACTAAGCAGCTCTGAGAAACTTGATTCAGATTTGGGTACATCCCTGTCCTTTGGAATTTTAAATGGTTATTAATATTTAAGAGCTTCTACCTCTATTCACATTGATCAGTAGAGTAGAGGTAAAATGAGGTTACGTGTGGGCACCTGGCCACCTTTGAAATTTGATGATTAATAGTGGCTTCCACAGGGTGGAAATATTATAGCCAAACATCCAACTTAGCCTCTTAAACCCCATCATGGTCTGAACATCTTTATCCATTTTCCTCAGCCATTGATCTGACCTCCATGAATGGGAGGGAGGGGTTGAGATCCCTTCCAATGACCCAGCTACTTTCACATGGCTCCAGGGCATTTTTGACTTGCTATTGAGTCATTAACTATAAAATTACAGGATTCTGCTTCAGTAGGTAAATTAAATTAAAGCCCCTTGTTTCATAAGTCCATTACAAATACTCAAATGAAGCCCCAGTGGAGGATCATATCAGAATTGAAGTGAAATCAATTACCAAGTCTATGACATGATACATTTCTTGTTATTTTTACGATATTTATTTTGGCAATTTATCTTTTCATGAAGCCCATTTTTTTTTCTGTGCAATTATAGTGTTTCAAATAATGTTATAATTTGTCAAAATGTTAATGTTTGCAACCAGGTGGTATTTTGACCAATGGCTTACGAGCCTACATTCTTGTTATTTTGGCATGATCTGGAGAATAAAACTGTTATATACTCTTCTGTTTAAAAAAGTAGGAATTGTTAGTGGGATATTCTAAGTGGTATATAGGTGAACTTTGGTTGGCAGTATCTCTTATATCATGTATCTCTGATAACAAATTCCCAATTATCCACCTGTGGCCCAGAGTCTATGCTCTATATATCTGAATGCCTTGAACTGGAGGTGGGAGTTGAGGGGGCCATCTGTAACTTTTTCTCTAGCTTCTCTTCTGAATTTTGACCTTCTATGGTTCATTGAAAGTTGAGATGGGCGTAAAACACCAATTTCAGGAGGCTTCAAGAAGTGACACTTTCACCAGATGCCCCTTATCCTATTTTCTAGATTTAAATATTATGTGGAGTCATAGTAAGAGTGTTCCCTCACCATAGACCTTCTCCCCATTTCAGAAGGACATTTCCAAAATCTGGTCACAAGTGCCTGCCTTCACAGAAAGAGGAGAAGCTCTCCCACCCAGTAGCCAGGCAGAGAATAGTTCTGCCACAGTGTCCTTCCCTCATGCTGGCCAGCTCTCTTCTCTTCCAATTCAGTGGATTTTAGAGATTATAATCCATTAGTCAGTCATTAAAAATGAGGAATGATTAGCTTAATTTCAAATTGCATCACAAACCCATTTCATAAATGTCTATGGTGGTATCGCTTTGCATTGAACTTAATGCAAGTTAATTTGGGGGAGGTTTTGTGTTTTTACTTTTGAATAAAACATACTCTTCAGTAAAATTTTTATTTTTAGTACCACAACATGTAAATATCATGATATCTAGTTTAAAATATCTAAGTTTAAATATCATGATGTCTAATTTAAAATATCTAATAAAATTATCTAGTGTGGATAATGGTCTCTTGGCTAAGATGTTGGTTTTGGACAATAAATATTTGAATTCTTCAAAGGTCACAGGATATAACATGATGTTTGTTTTTCTTTAGAGCCTTTTATATTTCCACATTTTTGTTTTTTTTGCTGGCTTTCCCATGTTATGTATTCCTCAATAGGAGATTTTACTTTGTAAGAATTTTTAAATAACAAAAGTATTATCCCAAGATTTTATGAGAGTTTATTTCTATTTTCAGTAATATTTCTTGAATGGTATTGTGCTGTTCTTTCATGGTTGTTGTTTTTAAAAAATAAATCTGGTAATTTCGATCTTTTTGCCCATCTGTTTATACAATAGAACTCATCCTATGCCATTAAAATCAAAGGAACTTATTTCTGAGTTGAGTGAGTAAATTAAAACTGTAATCATCAGAGACTCATCTATTTGGGAGAGGATTAACATTTTGGAATATTTTAAATCACAGAAGCTTTTCTGAGATCCCTTTAATATCTTACAGAACAGCACAATTAGGGGGTAGGATGATGGCGCAGTGTCATTACAATATTCTGTTAGGGTCTGTGCTGTGGAATGCCTTGAAGATAGAAAAAGCACATTTACTTCGTCTTAAGATAGATGGACAATTAATTCTCTCCCCCAACCGGATTTTTTACACCACATTCTGTTTTATAGCATATAGTATAATTAATGAGGAACCAGAATCACTTTAAAAAAAATACTATTTTTAAAAGCAAAATTTTCTCCAAATTGAAATACAGGCATCCCTTCCAATCAGACATTAAGCTTTCATTGAATCCTTGGATTGGTTTCAGTTTTAATCACCCCTTGATGAAGCCCATAATTTTCCAAAGAGTACATTTTGTTGGCAGGGGACATGAGGTTTCTGATACTTCAATTCTGTAATTTATTGTCTGTGTCAAACTTAAATTTATAGCTTATTCCATTTTCTATCATTTTTTCCCCTATGAACTTTTAGGAGGGAAGAATTTTTAACTAAAGGCTTAACTAAAGCTTTACAGCCATCATATTTTAATGTGTTGGTGTTGGGGTCTTTGACTTAATCTCCTGCCAATAATCATCTTCTCTAAGATTGAGATGAGGATGTAATACAAGTAATTATAAAGCAGGAACAAGATAATCAGATGAACGTGCATTTGTGACTGTCCTTATTACAATATGTTCAACAATATACTGGACTCTGTAGAGGAAATAAGTTTGATATGGACATTATTTTTTAGTCTCAATGTGGGTACTGCTGTCCTTTTCAGAGAATGTTGAAGATATCTCTCTCTCTTATTGACTAATTTTTCTTCTTAATCATCTGAGTCTGATAGCAATAGGTAAAAAGTTAAAATTAAACTGAAGTGCACATTTTAATATTCTAAATAAATGGATTATTATTTTTATTGAGCAATTGTATTAAGGAAAGGAAAGATGAGGGGACATTTCCTTGAAATCAAATATTGCAAATATATATTGTCTCAGAGTGACTAATTTTTTTCCATGAAAGAATACACTTTTTCCTTGTAAGTAATTTATCTGTTCCCTTCCTCACAATTATTTCTCAGGATAAAATCAAAGCTATGGTTAGGTACTGTTTCCCAACAAATGATATTACTATGCATTTAATTCATAAGCTTAATGTGTTTGAAAGAATTTTAGGGTAGCTCAATTTTATAAATAGCACCTAAAAATTATAGGATTAATTATTTAAATGAAAGTTACAGGAGAAAAATTATTTTATTTTTCCTGGTTGAAGGAGGATAAAGAACAACTGTTTTGAAGACAGTAGTAAAAACTGTGCTACAAAAATAGAAAGGTAAAGATTTGAGATATCTTGTCAATTGTCAAATCATTTTATTCTAAGTTGCCAGTTTAATTTTTTAAAACATGAGTTGGTAAACTCCAATCTGATTAAACATATGTCTTTGGGTGAGACTATTTTAGGATCTTTGCATGTCTCAAAAATTTAACAAAATCTGGTTACCGAATTAGCATATGGTCTAGACTAGAGAGACATCTCTTAATTTAGGTTAGTTCAAGAAGTAAATGTGTTCCCAATTTCTTTAACAATGGAAAAGTGCCCAGGACTCAAATCTATACCAATTGGTTCTTCTTGGGCAGTTGTCTACCATGCAACTATTTCTTTTAAGGTGCTTAGTAAACCATATTAAAGTATGCATACTGGTTTTTTTTTTTTTTTTCTACTATAAACTATTTGAGAAAACATAGTAGTTTTTGTTAAACATTCATTGAATGAATTAATTTAGTTTGCACCTGGGTAGGTCTCTTAAATTTCCAATTTTATTCCACACGATTTTAAAGCAATTTTTTGCTCATAGGATTGTGAAAATAAGGGGGCCTCGTATATGGCAATTAGGATGATGATAAGCGTCTTCCTTTAGGATAGAATAAGCTTCATCAATTTTAATTCCATGGAAAAGATATAAAAGGCCTTCTGCTACAAGGAAAGTAAGTTGGTTTTAGACTTGGTAATTTTTAATGGTTAAAGAATACAATCACAATGGCTGCCATACTGAGTACTTTAGCATGTCAGACACTGAGCTAAATGCTTTACTATCCTCACAACTCTGTGAAAATTTTGATGCTCCAAAATGTCAACTAAATTTCCCAAAGCTGCAGGGCTAGTGAGTTGCTGAAATGGACCTTAAGTGGGATCTGATTATCCCCTAGCTTTTCCCTGCTCACCATGCAACAGTGGCATCAATTAGCTAAAGTGAAATATTGAGCAAGAGGTGATGTTTTGGATAATTTTTTATTACTTGCTAGAATATATTTAAATCTTCATTAAATTAGAGCAGCAAAAGTTTGTTTTTTTGGTTTATTTGTTTGTTTTTTTGTTTTTTAATGAGGAACAGTTAAAGGGAATTGGAAATAGCTTAGTTCTGACAAGACTTGAGTTAGTGAGGGTTTACAAAGCAGCCCAATTTTCTGAGTTATTAAAAGAGAGGTGGTGAATTACAGTAAAGGAGGTGCTGGCTGGGAATCAGGAACACCCTTCTGATATACTTGATTAAACGAAGAAAAAGTCTGAAGGCTTTGCCATTAAGTCTTCAGGAACAGGTTTGAAACTGGCCGTAATGACTTGCCAAAACTCCCTTCCTTCTGTGTGAGAAGAACAGACATTTAACCCTCCAGAGATCTTGGGATTAAAAACACCAAGTAAATTTCCTCAATTCTTGAAATT